TGTTTCTAGAAACAATCTTTATATATTTTGTGTTTAAAATAACTTGAAGAATACGGCAAAAGTAAGCTTTGGTTTGTGGACTGATGAGTAAACACTATGAAATGATGAGTAAACATCAACAGTATATGTCTGGAAAGAGAGGAATTACATTATTTTTAGCAACAAGGTTACTAAAATTGGGGGTTATTATAACTTTATCCCTTTAAACTATAGTGCTAATATCAATTTACCTTTTTAACATTATTTTGCAGGCATTTGACCTCGCAGTTATTCTCCTTTTTCATTCTAAAAGGACCAAGAAAAATGTAAAAGGGTTCCCTTTTTTTTTTCATTCTCAACTATTAAGAAAAAAAAAGAAATTGAATAGAGGTTGACAGAAAACTCAATTTCAGAAAAAAGGAAAATAAAGAAGAATCCAATATTATAATTAATTTAAAATAAGTTAGAGTGGGCAGTAGGGGTGAAGAGTAAGTAGTAATTTTAAAATAATAAGCACATTGGATTCTTTATTATTTTTATTTTCTTTTTTAAAATTGAGTTATCTCTCTATTTTCATATTTTAAGTATTGATAAGTACACAAGGAAAAAAAGAAGAAGACATTTTTTTTTTACTTTTTTCCCCTTGTTATTAAAGAGGGTGGAAAAAAGGGAGAAGACACTTTTTTATTTTTTTTTCTTGGTATTAAAAGGGGGAAAAGGGGGGAAAAACCATTCCAATTTTTTTTTTATTTTTAATCATACAGGAGAGGGATGTATTTCTTCTAAAATATTAGGTAAATTATATATAATTTCCTGTGTTTTCATCTATTGCCACATGATCCCCAAAACATTTTAGGGTTTTATGTGGCTGATGTAAGGGAAAAAATTCATATTAATACCTTAAATTTCCCTTAAGGAGTTTTTATATTTAAATCAAATTATTCAATGAATATATTTTTGTTTTTCTTCTAGTCTTAAAGAGTCTTGCCTCAGGCCTAAATCATTTCCACTATATTCCTTTGGCCAAATTTACAATCGTATATTTGTGTTTGTAGTCGTTGATTGAACTTTGGTCTTAGGAAAAATGATAACAAATGGAAAGAGTGAGATACAAGTCAATTAAAAAACATCATTAACACTAGAATTTGTGAGACATGGAGACTTGGATTATAAAAAGGATAAGAAAACTTGAATAGGTGAAAAAGGGTGGATTAAAACTATATGAAAGAAGTAGCATAACAGTGATATAGTATTTGGTGATGGGAAGATTCTTGGAGATGTGTTTTTTAAGTTTGATAGGCATTTTATTACTTTTGGGAAGATTATTATAATCATTTTGAGTCCTTAAAAAAAGCATGGACGTATAATATTTGAATATAGAGGTGGGCAACATGAGATTATCAGAAATCTTAGAAGAAGTTTTTGAAATTATCCTTTGCTGTAATACTATTCTTTTTTTTTTCCTACCTTGTGATTATTGATTTCCACATTCACACTCGAAATGCTAAGGCAAAAAGCAAAATTCAAGGATGAAAAATGAAAGAAAAAGAGACAAGGTTATAAACATGGGGAAAGACTCTAGATTTGATTAATGCTAACATATTATAAAATGATTATAGCATTTCTTTTTCATTTTTTATGAGTGACACTTTTTTAAAAAAAATTAGTAGGGGAATGATGGGATTTAAAAAGCGAAAAAAGAACAGGGAGATCAAAATTCAGGATCTCTAATTCCTGGGAGTAACATGATAATATTATTTCTAAAAACCCAATATCAATCCTATTGGTGTAATATAAAGGAATTTGGATGATTGAAGTGTTTAAAATATAAAATACTTCTTAATTATAATATCTTATTCATTAGTCGAATGTGGAATCTTATGTTTGTTGCCCCTTTCTTTTTTGCTCTGGATTTGGGTTTTTGGCGTTGAATTTTGAGTCTGAATTGAGTAAGATTATAGCATGAGAAGGTTCATTTAATTAAGTTCTTCCTACATTTAAAATGGGAGCGTACATGACATAAAAAAGATTAAAATGGTAATAATTTACAAAAGAGCATCATACTGGGAATATTTTTCCTAAAAAAGGTCATTTCAGAAATAAATTCAATATGAGTATATTACTAAATTTTAACCATAATTAGTGATTAGACATTAGTTCATCATTCATATTTGAATTATTGAGTATTTGAATGTATAACTTGTAACTTGTAACATATGCTAAAAGTACATATATAATGGCTGAATTATTGGACTCCGACAGAATTTTGCGACCAGTCCGTCCCATGCGTTAACGTGTCATTGTGGGTGGAGTTCCAATATCAAAGAAATACTGTAGCAGTGGTTGAATTAATTAATGAGCACAATCGAAATGTACAATTAATTACACCAGCCATGGGGAGATGATTAGAAAAAAGTGACCCGGCTAAATATGCATCAATAAATGCTGAAAGGAAAAATCAAGAGAAATTGGCAGGTTGGAATTAGATAATAAATATAAGTAGAGTTTATTTCCAAAGTAACCTTCTTTAGAAAAAAAATATTCCCAGTGTGATGCTCTTTGACAAATTATTACCTTTTTAATCTCTTTTATGCAACGTAAACTTCCATCTTAAACGTTGTGAGACCTCATATCAAAAAATCTCCTCCTTGTTCTAAGGGATAATTTCACAAACTTCCCCTAAAATTTTCGACAATTACATTTAGATCCCTTTACCTCTAAAAAATTATGCAAACCTTTCCTGAATAGTAGTTGTGGGTTTTATGCGGCTGATATAAGGGAAAAAATTCATATTAATACCTCAAATTTCCTTTAAGGAGTTTTTATATTTAAATCCAATTATTCAATGAATATACTTTTGTTTTTCTCCTAGTCTTAAAGAGTCTCGCCTCAAGCCTAAATCATTTCCTCGATATTCCTTTGGCCAAATTTACAATCGTATATTTGTGTTGGTAGCCGTTGATTGAACTTTGGTCTAAGAAAAAATGATAACAAATGGAAAGAGTGAGATACAAGTCCATTAAAAAAACATGATTAACACTAGAATTTGTGAGACATGAAGACTTGAATTATAAAAAGGATAAGAAAGATTGAATAGGGGAAAAAATGTGGATTAAAACTATACAAAAGAAGTAGCATAACAGTGATATAGTATTTGGTGATGAGCAGATTCTTGGTGATATGTTTTTAAAGTTTGATGGGCATTTTATTACTTTTGGGAAGATTATTATAATCATTTTGAGTCCTTAAAAAAAGCATGGAAGTATAATTTTTGAATATAGGGGTGGGCAACATGAGATTATCAGAAATCTTAGAAGAAGTTTTTGAAATTATCCTTTGCTGTAATACTATTCTTTTTTTTCTACTTTGTGATTATTGATTTCCACATTCACACTCGAAATGCTAAGGCAAAAAGCAAAATTCAAGGATGAAAATGAAAAAAAAAAAAGAGACAAGGTTATAAACATAGGGAAAGACTCTAGATTTGATTAATGCTAAAATATTATTAAATGATTATAAAATTTCTTTTTCATTTTTTATGAGTGACATTTTTATTAAGAAAATTTAGTAGGGGAATTATGGGATTTAAAAAGCGAAAAAAGAACAGGGAGATCAAAATTCAGGATCTCTAATTCCTGGGAGTAACATGATAATATTATTTCTAAAAATCCAATATCAAATCCTATTGGTGTAATATAAAGGAATTTGGATGATTGAAGTGTTTAAAATATAAAATACTTCTTAATTATAATATCTTATTCATTAGTCGAATGTGGAATCTTATGTTTGTTGCCCCCTTTCTTTTTTGTTTTGGATTTGGGTTTTTGGCGTTGAACTTTGAGTATGAATTGAGTAAGATTATAGCATGAGAAGGTTCATCATGTTCATTTAATTAAGGTTTTCCTGCATTTAAAATGGGAGCTTACATGACAAAAAAAAAAGATTGAAATGGTAATAATTTACAAAAGAGCATCATAGTGGGAACATTTTTCCTAAAAAAGGTCATTTCAAAACTAAATTCCGAGAATCCATGGTTTCATGTGGGTTTTCTTTTCATGGACGTGATTAACATCATGTCTCTTATCATATCCATGAGGATTATTAACATCCAAGTCCTAGAGCCTGATTGCATTAGTACTATCCTTGGCCTTGGGTATAATATCACAAGTTCCTCCCTGTAAAGGTTGCAATGCGTTTTAAGAGAGTGAGAATTAAGTATATCATGGGGAAAAAAAAAAAGAATGGCAAAGTAACTTACCAGAACAACAAACAGATGGAGGAGGATAATCCAACAAGCAAGTCCTTTGGAATCCATCAATTGGTAGGTTTTATATCCCTTGCAACTCCTCCTTTGAAGGATTAGAAAACAGCAGAAGCAAATGCCAAATATTACATATCGATGAAAAGTGTGCTTGATTAGAAGGTTCTTTTTCAAATAGTCGATTAAAATATGACCCCTTGACAGATAGTGTTTCTTATTGAGGTTGAAAAATGAACCAAATTACTTGATACTCAAATCAAATTTTGCTAAATAAAAGTTTGTTTGAACTTAGTTTGCCAACTAATCAAATCAAAATTTAAGAAGTATTATTATGTGTTAGATTAACTATCAAATTTGGCATTAACTTGGCTTGATTAACGTAAAATTAGAATTTACAAGTAAAAAATTCAAGTTACTCAAGTTCGATTCATGCTCAATTCTATAAAAAAAGCTCATTTGAGTTTGGCTTAATTGATAAACAAGTCAAGTTTGAAGACCTTCCTCTTAAAAAAATTTTTAAAAAATCAAGTTTGAGTACAGTTTCAAGTTTATTAAATAATCTAACAAGTTTGAATACTAGAACATTGAATCTAGGAGATCTAGACAAAATCACTAAATTTATTTTAGACCATAACTGTAGATTATTTAGAAAAAAAAGGACCAAAATGTAGACCTACCCACGTGATGCAAACCAACCAGCCACGTGATCCATGCTGTAACCTTGCTAGCTTCACTTACCTATCGCCTTGTATAAATAGCCGTATAGCCCCCAAGAGTCTTTTCACCACCAAAGTTACATTTTGAGTCTGTTCATAGGCAAGGCATGGCTTCATCTATCACTCTGATCGCAGTCTTTTCAATTGCCCTGGTAAGGTTTCTCAACCATCAATACTGTACTTGAAGTAGTAGTTCATATGAGATAATTGCTAGACTGTATAGGAATACTGATGAAACCCGTGAATTAAAGCTACCTGAGAAAACACATTCTTCTTCCTTTTTGCACATTTATCTGCAGCTCTAACCATCGCCACTGAAGGAATGGAAGCTCTTCAGATGGCTCTGTAGTTCTATTCTCATAAAAGCTTGACTTCCAAACATTACCAATGCTGGTACCATACTTAAACGTCAATGTAACTTGAGTAACGGCATATGACACTATTTACCCTTTTTTAGTTAGAGGATTCATCCGGGAAAGATTGAAAGTCAAATCAAGAACCTTAAAATCAACATAAGGAATATTCCTGTTGCCAGTTGAGCTCGTCTTTGGAAATTAACTATCCTTCCCTACAAGGGGTCATCTTTTACGGTGCTACCATCAACGTACCTATATTGACGTTAGTTTCTTTTATGTTAATATTTGCACAAATGTGCAGTTTGCATGCATCACGGAAGCAAGGAAGAATCCTACGGACTTTTTGCAATCTGCTGTCATTAATGAGCATACTGAGGACAATCACCATGCAGAGTCGTCCCTTTCCAATCAGAAGAAGACAAGTAATGGTAACACATTGAAGGATTTCGAGTCGAAGCCCGGCTCCTTTCTCTGGGGGTATCAAGGCAACGAGGCTGAGTCTAAGTCTAAGGAGGAGAAGCCTCTTATGAAAGGCTTTGAGTCGAAGCCCGGCTCCTTTCTCTGGGGGTATCAAGGCAACGACGTTGAGTCTAAGTCTAAGGAGGAGAAGCCTTTTATGAAAGGCTTTGAGTCAAAGCCCGGCTCTTTTCTCTGGGGGTATCAAGGCAACAATGCTGAGTCTAAGTCTAAGGAGGAGAACCCTCTTATGAAAGACTTTGAGTCGAAGCCCGGCTCCTTTCTCTGGGGGTATCAAGGCAACGACGCTGAGTCTAAGTCTGAGGAGGAGAAGCCTCTTATGAAAGACTTTGAGTTGAAACCCGGCTCCTTTCTCTGGGGGTATCAAGGCAACGACGCTGAGTCTAAGTCTAAGGAGGAGAAGCCTCTTATAAAAGACTTTGAATCGAAGCCCGGCTCCTTTCTCTGGGGGTATCAAGGCAACGATGTTGAGTCAAAGTCTAAGGAGAAGAAGCCTCTTATAGCCCGGCTCCTTTCTCTGGGGATATCAAGGCCCTCTTATGAAAGACTTTGAGTCAAAGCCCGGCTCCTTTCTCTGGGGTATCAAGGCAACGACGCTGAGTCTAAGTCTAAGGAGGAGAAGCCTCTTATGAAAGACTTTGAGTCGAAGCCCGGCTCCTTTCTCTGGGGGTATCAAGGCAACCACGCTGAGTACAAGGAGGAGAAACCACTCGTGAAAGATAATTAATGTCCAGGGAAGCCGCAACTTTACCTCTGAATGGACCACGGACATATATGTCTTCTAGCTGGTCTGATTTTCTGCATTTTCTTTATTGGCATGAACATGTGTGATATGTAATAAATGCAGTTCTTCTTTCAACCAAGCGTTCTGTATAATTAATTAAATGAAAGTCAGTAGCGTTGAGTGCATTTCTGTTTCTTTGTTTGTTGTTTCTTTTTGCCATTTACCATAGACAGGAAGCGCACAAAAAAGAGCACTATTCAAGCATGACAAGAATCATAGAGTGAGCGAACCAACTATACCTTGATAATCTAAAAAGAGTTCTGCAAACTCGTACTCTTGTACGAAACCAGGACCATATATATATATATATATATATATAGATATATCGATTCAATTTTCTAATGATGTGTGTGGTACGAACGCACATTAGAAGTACAGAAAATTCTAGTGTAAACTTTCACAAAAGAAGAGAAAGAATGGAGAACTCTTGAAGCGTGATTGATCGCTATTCTTAAGAATTTAATTATCCATACTACACTAAGTATTTGCTGTAGAGATAAAGGTAATTTAACTTTAAGATACAACAAGAGAAGAAGAAGTTGATAGCAATATCAAGTTTCTCAAACTAAGAAATGATCAAATAATTCTAGCTAGTTTTGACAATAAAAGGCTTGTTTTTTTACAAGTAACCTGTTTTCCACTCGTCTCTAAGTATCCTTCGATACGTGGCACTTAATCCCAATTATTTGACTTTAAACTTCGTTCTGTGATGTGGATTCTATGTGTTAGTATATACAAGACTGATCTTAAACATTACTTGAAAATCATATTATATGTAACTGAGTACCGCATAACTTGCAATTATCCACTTACGCTCTCAATATTATTGGGAAATTACATGGATTTTCGTTTCGGTAACTCTAATTATATAGTCTCACGATCCATCTTAACTGAAGGGGCCATTATGAATTAGATGAACATGAAGTTGTATTTCGATTCTCAAGCTATTCCGTTCCTCTTTCTTCATTGTAAGGATTAGAGTCTCTTTTGGAGGGAAAAAAAAACACTCTAATTATACAGGATTAAAGCAAATAGCAATGGTCTATAAAAGGATAAAAAGTAAGCAGGCTGGGGCATATTTATTAAAACATGAAAATAATATGAAATTTTATAATACACATGATACGAAAAATAAACTGTATGTAAATAATGCAAATATATTCGAAAAGTACAAAGCTGAAAATACAGCTTCATTTACCATGTGCATAATAGCTGTGTGCACATTCCAGTGAAGATTTTTTATTTTTAGTGTAAGTGAGAAATTTCGAGTTCTAAACCTTTCATTTACACTCTCTTGTCCTATATCATCCAATCCATCCCTTCCTATATTTTTATGAAGATGAGTACATAATGTGAGTTTTTATTTTTTGAGGTGAATAACTTGTTCACAAAAAAGTTTTCTCGATTTAGGTAAAGTTTAAACTTTACGTTGTCTAAACAACGCAAGCAGATGCCACTAGGACAGAAGTCATTATGATGACTTCATCCAAGGTAACAAAAAAAAGGCGTACAATTGCACTTAAAATTTGTGAATTTATAGTACTATTTCATGGTTTATCGCCTCAAAGTTAACAATAAATAATGTTTTGAACCCCATTTAAACAACTTATGAGTGTAATTCAAATTTATTGCTCTATTATGTGTGTACAATGTATCAAAACAAAAGAGTAGCAAATTGTGTTTTATTGCACTTTTTGTTTAGCTAGCTTCATGCAAATTAACCTTCGTAGATTATAGGTAAAGAATTGGTTTGCCATTCAATGTATCCAAGAAATATGTGTTAGTACATAATGTTTATTTTAATGGATGTACTGGTGTAAAACAAAATTACAAATTATTAAGTTTTAAACTTTACAAGTACTTAAAGGACAATAATTTTTTATTAAATTAAAATTTTCCGTTCTGTGATTTGGTAGTTTATCTTATAACCCCTCTATAGTTTAAAAATCTGTAATCAACCTCCTCATAATCTGGGTTAACATATCATCATTAATTTTTCTAAAGTTTAAGCAAATTAATATATTGAAAAATTCATCCTTTCACTAATTCTTTGAGGTAGTTACAAAAGTATTACAATTATTATACACCTTAAACTATGTATTTGTTTTCAAGTAAACACAAAAGATGCAGCAAACCATTTTTAGCCAAGTTAATAAAATTGCAAATGTAACAATATAAAGCACCTTATGAAAAGTTACTCTATATGATTAAGAAAATAATTTATATTTATTAGAATGGGAAAAAGTTGCCAGAAGAGGGAGAGACCATAAGAAAAATAGTTTAGAGTGAACTGCATCAATCATGCCTTCCATCAGGGAAAAAAAGGGGTTAAATATCAAAAACCGCCATGGAGTTTGCCTAATGTTTACTTTACCTCCCTATGGTTTGGCAACCTACAATTTGACTTCCTGTAGTTTCAACTAAAGTAAAAGTCTGACAGAAAACATCTAAACTAACGTCTGAAAGGAAAATGTCAAAATTGCCCCTCTATAAGGGTTTTGGGTTAAGCACCAAAAATCCCCCTGTGGTTTGTCAAATGTACACTTTACCTCCCTATGGTTTTAAAACATACAATTTAACTCCCTGTCGTATCACCTAAAGTGAAAATCTAACAAAAATTCCGTTAAATACACTTTAGTTGAAACGACAGGGAGTCAAATTGTAGGTTTCCAAATTATAGGGAGGTAAAGTAAACATTAGGCAAACCACAGAGGGGTTTTTGGTATTTAACCCAAAAAAATGATAGATGTGCGTGTATATAGGTGACGGGACTTTTATATCAATGCAAGTTTAAATCCGATTTTATACTCGTTGACTACAAATATACAGGCCGAAATCGTAATGTAAGGTGTGTATCGGGTCAATCCCACGAGGAGCAAATTAAATAAGTACTAGACCCTTATTTTTCTCTATTATTTAGACTTACAATAAATTTGAGTAAAAAATTTATAATGCTATTGTCTACAACTCTGGTTTAATCAATGTTAAATGCAAATGGAGAAATTTCACAAAAGATTGAATCTTGGGATGTAGATTCCACTTATGGCATAAACAACACAAATGAATAGATTTACCTTTTGTTATTTTTCTTGTTTAACCAGGGATTCATTTCCAATATTACCAAATCTCATTCTCATGATGAAATGGCCTAGAGCAATATAGTTTTCCCTATTTTCATGGTGAAATACTAGTTCTACTCTGTTTTCCTTCATGAAATGCTAGAAAATGCACTTAAGTGTACATCTATTTTCATGAACATACAACTCAAGCTCTACTCATGTTTTTCCATTGTTACTATCAATTTTCATTGACTAATAACAACTATGAACATGCTATTGGTGATCAAACAACCACAAGTAATTACAACTGCACAAATAGACAAGTTAATACAAGATATAACAAGTGTAAATCACATTCAATTCATATTATTTAGCCATAAGTTTTATCTACTCCCTAGATAAAGAAAATTAACTACTCATGAATGAGATAAAAATCAAACTCACAAGTTCATTAATGCAAAACATCACAAAGTACAATTACAAGAAAGATAAAAGAAAGCTTAGCCAATTAATGGTGAAGCCCTCAAATTTCTGCTATGTTCTTGTAAAAGATGATTACAAGATGAGTCTCCAATTGCTTCCTCAAGAACTCTTCACTAAAGAGAAACTTGTTGCAAGAAGAAAAACTAGTTATGTATGGTCATCTCTAGCTTCTCCATTCTATCTCTGCATAAAAGGTGGTAGAAAGACATTTTTTTTTCTCCTTCATGACTTCAACCACTTAGATTTTGTAAAGGAAGTCAAAAGATATGTTGTTTTGATTAGTCAATAACTCATTTGGTCTTCTCTTTTGTTGCAGAAGCATGTGCCACCGAATTTTCTCTCCCAAGATAGCTGGAACGTTGTGTGAAAAGTGAGAAAAAACAGCTGCGCCACTTGCTGAAGAGAGAGGCGGATCCGAGCCTTGGATCAGAAGGGTGAAGATCGATCCGAGAACTTTCTCTGATGGATCCGAGCTCGGATTGTATGACTTCGGATACACTGCTCCAGAAGTACAGACGAGAGCTCGGATCGCCCTTTACTCACACGGATCTGACCTCGGATCTGTGCTGATGAATTTCCAGTTTTTTACTTCTTCTCTTTTCTCTTCATGTTTGTTCCTAGTTTCTCTTGTACTTTATCCTCGGGACAATTCTTACAATTCCTTCATCTCGTGCATGAATTCTATATATCAATGTCCTTCATAATTTCACAAAAATTAACACATTAATCCACTTACTTATCAAATTTTAAACACTTAAATAATATTTAATCAATTATCACCAAAAGAGTTCAAATATGGCTTTAATCTTCTCAAAACATACCAAAAGTTTATGCCAAACTTGTACAAAATATACGTTAAATATTCACTTATTAAATTCCCCACACTTGAATCATTGCTTGTCCTCAAGCAATTTCACACATAACTTACCATAATGATTCAAGAGATAAAACAATATACGTACTCTTGTCAAATTTAATTTCTCAAAAACCTAGAAATCAATCATTATGCCATTTCTCAGATTATACTAAATACTCATAATATCAAGTTAAAGAAAGATAATTATGCATTAATTTTAACAACTTCAAATCAATCTCTCATTCTATCCTAATTTCACAAATAAGTAAATCGCATAGTCAATTCTATGGCCTTCCTGATCCCATGACCATCAAAACTTAACAATTGAGAGGGATTTATTCACACTTCATTATTTTTAAATAGTGAAATCGCCTTTTTATGCGAAAATCGACACTTTTAGGTGAAGATTCCCGGTTACTCAACATTTCACTTATTCAAATTGCTAAGCATACTCTTAATTCCAATACCTTTTTACGCGAATGTTAATATTTGTAAATGCCAACCCCCGGTTACTTAGTATGTGAATCATTAGAGTAGAAAAATAATATCAATATATATATATTTTTTTAATATTTTTCTTTTCCCTCTAAGCATAATTAAAGGAAGAATCTAGCCTTGTCTTGACTATATCAATCACTGATAGGGTGTTAATTGTTAGCAATTTTATTGTTAATTTTTCCTTTTATCCTTGCCAAATAATGTTTTAATTATTAATATTTACTTATAT